AATATATATATATATATATATATATATATATATAATAAATATATAAAGGGCAAAAAGTAAATTACTGTTAACTTTATTCAGTTTCACAAAAAATCCTCAAAAATTTGGATCCATCAAGATGGTGTTACCCGTTAAACATAATCCACGAAGATGTCGATTTACAAAACAGTGAGGTCCAAATATGATTATTTTAAAAAATATATACAGAGAATACGTATAGAAATAGTATTATTCAAATACGTATAGAAATAGTATTATTTATTGATGTATGTAATATATGTGTTTAAAAGAATTGAAATATACGTTGATTTAAATAAACATACCTTTTAAATGTACTAAGAGTACAAACTGAAATATGTTTATTCGAAATTGTTTTCATCAAGTTTACATCAAGCTTACAAAATTATTTTAAATTTATATTAATTATTTAAATTTATTAGAGTAAATGTTTAAACTAGTTTTCACAATGCAAAGTTTCATTCTTTTCAGTAGATGCATAAATTCACTTAAACTTCTGTTTTACACTTCTAACGCACATTATACAACTTTGAATCTCTTCAATGCTATTAATCTGTTTTTATAAATTGTTTTATAAATTGTAAATATCCCTATAAGTAAAAATTTAAAGGATTTAAATTCGGTAAACAAGCTAGCCAATCATGTAAACTGTATGTTCCTATCCAATCTCCGAACACGTTTAAATGATTTCATATTAGAGCGTATTACACAACTATCTTGCTGGAAATAAATATTTTCTCGAATATTATTTGGAACACCTCATATCAATGTTGGAACTTATAAAAATCGAGATATTAATAAGAAATTACAGTTTCCTCAAAAAGAAACAGTTCAATTAAACAATTATTCAACTCCTTCTTAATGTATGTAGCATATATGTACAAAAGAAAGACTCACTAAAAGAAAGATCACTAGTGTGTATACAGCATATACATACGCACATCTAAAAAAAACTTATTTATTCTTTTCCGATTTTTATGAAATTTATAGTTACTTTTTAAGTAGCTGAATCTGAATATAATATCAGAATTTCAAAAATAATTGGATTTTTATAAAAAATGATTATTCTAATCATTTGTCCCCATGGTAGTCGTATATGATATCTAAATTTCAAAATTCCAAACAGCGGATCTAATATTAAGGATAAAGTTTAAAAAAACTTGTTATAAAAATGAATGCTTCAAAATTCTTATAGTCGCTGAATCGAAATATATCAGAATTTTGTTACTGTAAATGGCAGATCAAATTTTGTTGACAAAAATCACTTGAAAATAATAATTCATTTAAACTTTAAAATATCATATCAATATAGAGCAATTATTTATAAATCCTGCTCTCTGTCGATCTTAAAATCATGAAATGAGAACATGGCGAGTTTAAATTGCGTGGTTTTACTTTTTTACTTTAAAATTTTTAATTTTTTATTTTTAATATTTTCTTGTTTTTTAATTCTTTTTTATTAAAAAAAATTTTTTTATTATATTATGAATTCTTTATTCGTTTTATTTCTTCGTTTGTGTCTTTATTCGTTTTGTTTCTTGTTACTTTTTTATATTGCATTTTTATTTGACAATCGTTTATGTAGTAATCATTTTTATATTGCATTTTTATTTGATAATCGTTTATGTGATAATTATTTTTATAAGAATCTAATTATTTTTCCAAACTCTGATCTGTTATATTGAATCCGCTATTTTGAATTTTGAAATTTTGATATTGTATTCAGATTTAGCAAATTCAACCTTAATATTAAAATCGTATCGAAATCCAAAAAATTTTCTTTTCACTTTTTTTCAGTGATAGCACGAAAATCTTATTTCCGTCACACTGCGAAGAGATTAAAATACAAAACATTTGAAAATATTTGAAACATACTTATTTAAACATAAAAATTATATACGCAGATCTAATGCGGATTACCTAAAAATATCTATTCGAAATATCATTTCGATAGACATTATCATCATTTTATTCAAAATTTGACAGTTTTTTCAAGTAATGATTGGTTATGTATTTATAAAATATAAACATTGTGAAGCATTTCTTACGCATAAATGTTGGACTAGTATCATTTTAAACAAGCGTTTCAGAGTTTTTTTTTATATTAGTGTTGACATACCTATTTCTGCGGCAATTTCTGAGTAGAAATATGTAGATTAACTTAAAAATACTATTTGCTGAGTCAACAACAGCAGTATTGTTATCATTTGTTACTTGTTTAATGCGATGAATACGTTTTTCATCGAGAAATTTGTCGTGACGCAGAAAATGTTTAATTGTATAAAATATTTTCGTGGAACAATGAATTTTATTCAAATATCGTTTGCTATAAAGAACGATAGCTTCGCTTATATTTTTTTAAATACTTATTAAAGACTATTAACATACAGTGCTGTGAATAATTATACACTCAATTATATATTTTTATATTTTTCATAATATTTTATATTTTTATATTTTTTATAATATTGAAACAAAAGATGAAGAAACCGTTTATATCTTTTCGTATTGATACAAAATAAAAATGAGAAAATAATAAACGAAAATTTTCTTCATCAGAAGCCTAAGAAAAATAAAATTTTCTTTTAAAATTGTATTTTAAGTTGTGAAAAAATATAAACTTAATATTAATTTTAGTATCTTCCCATTTAATATTTTGTTTATTTTTCTTTATTTTTTATTACTTGTAATAGCTCGCATGGCATAAGAGCGAGTGTGACCTAGTAGACGCATTGGTTTAATACATTAGAGATCCCAGGTTCGATTCCCGGCAGAACCAAAATATTTTCATACGCTCGTGTCTGCTCTTGACGATGTGGCAAACCATGAGAGTATTCTTGCCCACAGAACCTTCCCAAAAAGTTTGTCGTTCGAAATTGGCATTAAAATGTACGCCCCACATATTTGTGCATCATTTACGTGCGCATTACAGGTATATGAGAGTGAGGTAGTACAGGCTTTAAGCCTATATGGAAGAAGAAGAAGAAAATAATAATCTTCTAATACTACCAAATAATAATTCGGCTTGTAATAGCCAATTAGAAAAATTATCACTTAAATTTTTTACAGTTTCATTTGAAATATCTGCGCAAGCGAACTCTATTCATTTTTTAATTTGAGCAATATTGTCAATTTATAGCTCGATAAATTTTCTTTGCAAGAATATCACAAATTTTCAATAGAATTAAAATTAGGATTCAGTGCTAATCATGATAATAAATCTGAACTCTTGAAATCTTTTTGTAAAGAAAGCTGTATAGATAGGAACATTATTCTGGAAAATTATTTTCTGTTAATGTTATGAAAAGCAACAAATAGTTATCTTATATCTGTTAATAACCAGCATTCATTCTACCATTTACGAAAATTATTTTACTTTTAAAACTTTTTTTAAAGGCAGCCATGACATTTCCTTGAACTCTCCACGACATCATCTTTTTTTCTTTCCTTAAATCGTGTCAATAATAAATTGAATCCATCAAGCTCCCATCTATTTCTATATGTTTCCTTTTTGAATGTATTTTTCAGCAAATTTTAGTCTAGCACAACACACACAATCGATATGTCTATTTTAGTCTAGCATCGATAGTCTAGCATGAGGTTTTTGTATCGTTGGTTTCCTTAAACATTTTTGATATTTAAACTTCCCAGAGTCTGCAACCCACTTTTGTACAAGACTGGAATCACATAATGTAAATCAGGGAAATATTTCAGAAATCTGGAAAAAACACTTTCAGATACTTGCAATAATACTACCAAATGAAAAATGATCTGTCAAAAGCATGGAATCTTCTCAATGACCTATGAACAATAACTGGGTTTATAAATATTCACAATCGTAGCAGTACGCAGTTTTGTTTCAAGTACTAAGTAGATAGTTTGTACAGGCAAATAACAACAAAAAATTGTTTCCGTACAAAATTCTTACTATCCAATTGCAAATATATTTGATATGATGTCATTTCTTGAAAAGAAAGCAGAAAGTATTTGAGTTTATAATTATTCAGCACTGTATTTACTTTTTCGATATGAAAGTAGCGATTTGTTATCGAATGTCTAATATACATATTGAAGATAATAAACTGAATTGATTCCGTGATTATATCTCATACAACTATTAAGACTTTATATGTTTCTCTCCTTGTACATACATTCCTTAATATGACCATGTTTGTTTATATTTGGGTTTTACTCTGTATCAATAATAGATTCATGGATATTTGAAAATTAATTGAATTATCTTGAGATTGAGTGATTAAAATGAAATAAAATGCTATATCATTGAATTCATATTTTTGTATGTAATTTATATTTTACAATAAAATGGAAAAGAATATATGACTTTATCTATAAAAATATAAATTGTAAATAAAAAAACATAAACATTGACTTAAATTTTTTGTTAACAACTTTGAAATTTTTCTTACGTAATTAATTCTTTATTAGAAAAATAAACTTTTGTTTGAAACATTTTATCGTTAATTCATCGAAAGTATTTAAAAAATCATGTTTATGCTCAATACAAAGACCATCTTGTATATATAAATTCAAAAAGAAAATGAGGCACCTGAGATTCTACCTGCTGAGTAAGATATCATCTATTATATTTTATTTTTTGAATATATCCTCACTTTATTACATTTATTATTTATTATTGAAATTAGAAATCGAAATCAATCTTGCAGTTTCAAAAATTCTAATAAAAAATTCTAATTCACTATTTCAACAATAATGCTGAATCTTTAACTGGAACTATCATACCATATTACCATTCTAATTTCGACGATCAAAACTGAGTCACTCCATGTATATCCTCGTTTGACTATGGATAACGCGATACAATAAATGACAATATTACACAATTTCATACTTGATATTTTCAGTGTCGAGTCTTACATTTACGCACGTCGCAAACTCCAATTTGTCTGCAGGACTAGTTTGATCGTGGCAAACATGGTGAACAAAGCAGTGCAAGCCATCATTGACGGTGATGATGCCATGCTATGCTGCATGGCGGCAGGATTATCGCCTTTAAAAACATGCACTAGTACTCGTGCCGGCTGCGCATTACTGGCTTTGCAAGTGTAATTGCCCGAATGGCGATCCGATGCTCTTGGCACTTCTAACCAACTCTCTCGGTTGATGATATCAGTGCTGACGTTGACACCCTGATCGACGTCGTAATTAATCATACGGAAATTGTGATACCAGAAGAGATACGAGGGTACTTCTGTAGACTTCTTTACCAGACAATGAAGCTGCAGTGTACTACCAGGTCTCACAAATTTCTCCGCCGGGCCGGCTATCTCCGCTCTGGCTTCTGCAAATGGCCGAACGTAATACATGAAAACTATTTATAATTCCGGGTAGATATCACAGTATTGTTTATTATTATGGATATGTGAGAGACCATCTCGAAATTGAGAAAAAAGAACAACTCATATAAGAAATGATATAACAAGGATCTTGAATATGTCATGCCAGGATTTCTCAAATGAATTGTTAAGATTAAAAAACTGATATATAATTATATAATTATTAATATATAATTATTCCTATAAAACTCTCGTGATAACATTTAGAAATAATAATTTCCTTTAAAATAATATATTATAGAATAATAATATATTATACTTCCAATAATATATTATACTTCCCGAGTTGTTTTTTTGATTAAATAAAAATTTTCCTTTCTTTCGAAGCTCGGACGTAACAGTGTATTAAATTGTGTATTAAATTGATATATTGGTATATCAATTTAATACAACTATCTCAGACAGCACACATGTCTAAAAGACATGTTTTATAAGAGACGTCTTTAAGACTTTAGACAAAAAGATATCATAAATACGTCTTTTGAACATATCTTAAAGATGTCTTAAAGATATCCTTTTAAAAATGTTTTTAAGACTGTATCTGACGTCTTTCTGATGTCTCAAAGACAAATTTTCTAACAAGAGAAGTATTGCAATTATCTCCCATCCCCTCCCCCGATTTTAATGAGTTTCGAGTATGTTAAAATATGAACAAAAATAAGAAACATATACTTTTTTTATCTGCGTTCTCGAACATTAAGAGGAAATCATCTCTTTAAAAAAAAATCGAATTTTTCTTCCTGAGTAAATATCGTCCAAACCGTTAAATATATAGAAAAAAAAGTTTTAAACTAAAAAAA